CACACACACACACACACACACACACACAAATACTATCCCTGATTATTTGTCTCCTTTGCTTCCCCAGGACACTGAAAGGGAAGATTTCTAAGCAGTACCCAGAAGCTTTTAGCAGTGAGTTAACATTCACATGTTTTCATACCAACAATCAACTCCTCCAATTCAGTTCAACCAAATCTCATGTTTGAAATATTTAGATATCCACGAGTCACCGATTCTGGAGGACGACGATGACGAGTTTGACCCAGTTCCCCACAGTGTTGCCACAATGATCACAATGGCCACCTCGGAGCAGAGCACAGAGTCATGTGACACAAGTCCAGATGTGATCTCACCCACTGTGAGCAGATGCTCCGAAGATCTCTCTCAAGAACCACCTGACACGCCCACCTCTGACGTGCCAGAGACCGTCATCACAGACACCGCCGTCCTCCAGGACGAAGGGCCTGACTCTGTACCTGCGGAATAGAACGAACACTTTGAATGGATTTCAGTCACTTGAACCTGAACTTCAACCTTAAAGTGATTTTAGCAGGAGGTCTTGTTGTATTTATGTTGGTCTTCATGATATTTGTTCATTTTTCCAGACAGACTTTGTTTGTATTTGTTGGAAAGAGCTTCACAGCCTTGATGTTAAAGTCTGTCTCTGAGGATGTTTACCATGCTTGTTTGTTCTATACCTACACAGCACTGAAATAATATACATAATACTTGAAGTTGTACAGTATGTCACTATGGATACTTCTGTCTTATTCACACCTGAGTAAAAGCCATCACTCAAAACATGATTGGAAGCATTTTCTGTTTGAAGAGATGCACTTTATGTTACTTGAAAGTGATTTTTTTCTCTGCATAATAGTTAGAGTGCACGTAGTTTATACTGTTGTTGTGGTTATAATATTGTCACGGCATTATTTATCGATGGACCTCTGTTACAACCATAGACAACCAATGATTTCCACAGAATTTTATCTCCTGTTTTTTGCCCAAAAATTCTCTGTTGTTTCCTCTCCCATCACAGGCAGGTAAGATATTAGGTTCACTCTGTGATACAGAAAACTTTTTAAGGACACAAAGATTTGCTCTTTAAGATGTAAACCATGTTGTGTGAGTGAATGATCCGACCACTCTGCTACAATGCTACTGATTAAAGATGCAGTTATGGTTTTAAGTGGAAAATTCTAAATCAAAAATAGGCTTAATTTGTTATTCATGTCATAATGTATTTGTGTTTATATGTTATATACTTAATCACTGGAAAATCTATCTAGACAGTACGTTTAAATGAAAGTGAGAATAATAACTGGTGTTTGACAAATGTGCTTTAGACAGGTGAATAACATTTATGACAAACTGTGTCCTTCAGTTTAAAAACAGTTTGATGAATCAGCTGTTATTAGAAAGTGAATCTGTTAATGTTCCAACAGAAAATAAAACAAGGTGATGCAAAGTGATAAAAAAAGTAAAATGACCAGAAAGGTTTAGGGGCTCTCCTAATGAAAAGTGTACATTTATTTTCCCCACAAGAAATAAAAGAAATGGAGCGTGCCTTTGCTTCATGAACAAAAGAAAAAAGAGAATAAGCCTGAGAACAATAAAAAGAAAAAACATGATAATAATAAATAATTGATCTCACACTTTGTGGCTGAGAAAACTGTATTAGACTCATAACTCTGTAGTAAGCAGAGACTAACTGGTTGGTTAGATTAACTCAAATGTTTCTTAAAAGGTGAATCCTGCCGAGCAACCAGGTTAAAGTGAGAGAACTCTGGATCCTGGAATCTAAACCCAACCATCAAAATCTCCTCTACACAAGCTGCCTCTGTCATTAGTGTCAGAAAGTGCATGAAGTCATTGTTATCATACTCAACACAGCCATCAATTCGTGTTTGCAGTTCCTCATCAACCACCTGAGGGCGCTAAGTCCGGATCGAAGCAGTTTTTTTTTTCCAGACAACGAGTTCAAACGTCACAGTGACCTCCACGTCACATGACCGGATATCCCAGGTTTGGTGTTTTTCTAATGGTCAACACATAAACTGTAAATATTAAGTCAACGTGGATAATTTACACTTTAACAAACAATGCAATCATGTTTTTGTTTCGTTTAACGACCGCCATGTTGTAGCCCGCTAAGCTAGCTGATGCTAACGGTTGTTGTCATGGTCAAACGTTCAAACTGAACTTTATTAATCTCAGCTCGTCCCGAACAACCGGAGTGTGAGAGGATCGCTGAGCTGAAGCTGCGACATGAGGAGACTCACGAAGAAGAAAACTCTGACTCTGGTCAAAGAGCTGGACGCTTTCCCCAAAGTCCCCGAGAGCTACGTGGAGTCCACAGCCAGCGGTGGGACAGGTACCGACACAACACAGACACACGGAAGACACACAACTCAGACACAACAGACCACTGACACACAACACATACAACAGACACACAACACAGACACACGACACAGACAAGACATCTACACCACAACACAGACACACAACAGACTATATATACAGACAGAAGAAACATAGACAATACAACAGATACACAATGGACACACAGCAGATGTACAACAGATGCACCACAACACAGACATACAAAAGACCACAGACAAAAAGCAGATACACCACAACAGACCACAGACACTGCAACATAGACACACAACAGATTCACCTCAGCAGATGACAGACACCACAACAGACAACCAGAAAATAAAACACAACAGACAGCACAATAGACCACAGACGCAGCTGTAGTGTCCATGGTAATGTCCCCTGTGTGTGTGTCCTCTGCAGTGTCTCTGATCGCCTTCAGTCTCATGGCGGTTCTCGCCCTCCTGGAGTTCTTTGTGTACACGAACACGTGGATGAGATACGAGTACGAGGTGGACAAAGACTTCAGCAGGTGAGACAGACACACGTGGTGATTATTGTTCAGCATCTCTGAGTTAGTTCTGGACGCTCGCTCGTCTCAGTCGTGGAATAACAACAGTGTTCAGGTTTTATAAGGTGTTGATTCTCAGCTCAGATCATTTTGTAACTCTGACTTCATGGTGCTGTAGATTTATTTTATAATAGAAAGAGTCTGTGGTTTAGCCTGACCTCAATGATTTGAATGGCTTGTGTTTATACTGCAGTGCAGTTCAACAGCAGCACAGATGACATCCTTCAAAATAATCATTTCAGGACTGTTGAGTTCAACTGTGTTAGTTTTAACTTGGTGTTCATGATCAATGGTAAATGGAAACTTTTCCATTCTCACGAGTGTATGTTCTGCATCTGCTCTTCATTTACAGTAAACTCAGGATCAATGTTGACATCACAGTTGCTATGAGATGTCAATGTAAGTTCAAACATTTCAGGTTTCATTGTCAGTTCTTTAGATTTGAAGAGGAAGTCTGATGCTGTGTTTTTATGCCTGTGTTTAGATATAGGTGCAGATGTCCTGGATCTGGCAGAGACCATGGTCGCATCTGATGGTTTAAAATATGAACCAGTGAGTTTGAGCTCCGACATTTACATTTAAAGTGTTAAACTCCATTATGACTCTTTTTAAACATTTGTATTCAATTCTTAAAGCTTCTTTATATTTGTCTCACAATTTCCTTTTCCGTTTTAGGTCAACTTTGAACTGTCTCCACATCAGAGATTGTGGCACATGTAAGAATCAAACTAACTTGTGGTACCTGTAATATCTTGGACATGTTTTTTATGTACATTCAGCAAGCAGTTGTCTTTTGAAGCTGGAGCCACAGAGTGTTTTGCATCGTTCCTTGAAAATGACTGTAATGTTCAATTAATCTGTTAATTGTTATAGCTCTAATTAAGTGGCAGCAGGGTTAGTAAAATATATTGGCCACCTATATAATGTAGTAAACTCATTGGTACCATATGGTTTGACCTCATTTGTGCTGATTTTGAATTATAAATGCTGTTTCACTATTTGACTTTCCTCTCAATTGAATTGAGTCCTTGTTCTTACTTTTCTGTCTCCATCAGGACTCTTCAGCACATCCAGGAGCGTCTGAGAGTCGAGCACGCTCTGCAGGACGTCCTCTTCAAGGCTGCGTTAAAAGGAGATCTTCCTGCTCCCGAACAAAGGTACAAGCTACTAAATTGTTCTAATTCCTTTTTAAAGTTGGAAATATTATTACAAAGTAAAGTGTTCAACCTCGCTTATAGTTTGAATAAATCATTCTGTCCTCATTGTGTTTCTCCTCCTCCCCACAGTGACGGCAGCCCCACTTCCCTCACCGCCTGCAGGATACATGGACATCTGTATGTTAACAAAGTGGCAGGAAACTTCCACATCACTGTTGGCAAGTACGTGTCTACCTGGTGATGAACACTCATTATGATGTGTTAATAATGTAGTAGTTATATGATATTTTGCATTTATCCAGAAGATGAGAATTAAACCTGAACATGTTTTTTTCTAAATCTAATATTTTGACTCCCCCACAGGTCCATCCCTCATCCCAGGGGTCACGCTCATCTAGCTGCTCTCGTCAGCCATGACTGTGAGTTTTTTATTTTTAACAAAACATGAATCTCTGTCATGTAAGCTCTCATACTTTAATCACAGTACAAATTAAAGTTGTGGTTGCTGGGATATTAAATGTTGAAGATAACTGTTCTGACTCGTCATTGTGCTGCAGCTTATAACTTCTCTCACCGCATTGACCACCTCTCCTTTGGAGAAGCGATTCCTGGGATTATCAGCCCGCTGGACGGCACAGAGAAAATCTCTGCTGAGCGTACGTCTGTGTCGTCAAACACAAATCAATTATTATTTTCATTTATGCTTTAAAATGCTATTTTTTTATTGACGCTGCTTTGATAATTCTCTATAGCTAACCACATGTTTCAGTACTTCATCACCATCGTGCCAACCAAGCTGAACACGTACCAGATTTCTGCTGACACACATCAGTACTCAGTCACAGAGCGGGTAGGTTTGAAGTCTGCTCCTGTTTGTGTATTTTTGTTGTGTACTATTTGTCAGTGCATTAATATGTGTTTGTGTTCCTCTGCAGGAGCGAGCGATAAACCATGCTGCAGGCAGCCATGGAGTCTCAGGGATCTTTATGAAATATGATATCAGTTCTCTGATGGTCCGAGTCACTGAGCAGCACATGCCTTTCTGGCAGTTTCTCGTCAGACTCTGCGGCATCATTGGAGGAATTTTCTCCACCACAGGTAGACAAACTGTTTAATCTGCTTTAATGGAGCATCAAGACGCTTATTGACAAGACTAAACTAGAGCATCATGATGAGCTGTGCTTGTACAGTTAGGCTACATCCACTCTGATATATTTTAGTTTAAAAACACGTCCCTGTTGCTTCATTTATATCTGACACTGACCTAGTTTTAGTTGGAAATGTTGCGGTGTAGTGTGGACGGACTGAAACGAATGCAAAGTGTTGCTAAAACTCAATATTAGTTTGTCATCGGTCCAAGAAAAGAAATCGCTGCTCTTAGTTTTCACAATTGTTGTTTCTTCGTTTCGTTTTCTGCAACTAAACAATCGACTGCAGGGAGGATCATCTGCTTCCTGTTTACACTGGCACACACATGCCCAGTGTATGTGAATGGTCACGTGATGTGCATTTTCAGATGCATTCAGATGTTTTATGGTTTTAGATTTAAAACGCTGCTTAAACACGTTCCCATATTCTGAGCAGCCATCGGCTTGAAATTGATTCATTCATCTACAATATGAAAATGAGAAACTTAAAGAAGGGAAACATCAACCAAAGTGAAAATATATGAACACACTAGCGAGATGTAGTTTTTAAAAACAGTCCTGCATGGAGCTACCAAATTACTTTTTATACTCGTGTAAACTGAAAACAATGACTGAAAGAAAAGTAGAAACAGCACATAGAACCATTGTTTCTCATGTGGTGATGGAGTCTGTAGAAGAAGAGTTCAGTTTATGAGAGCAGACATCTTGTCTTACATAAACTGTGTAAAGCAGCCTGGAAAAATCCATAAATCATGCTGCATGTATTATTTATGACTTTCTGTCAGATGCAGACTCAACATCGTCTTCTATTTAAAAAACACAGAAACTCACTTTTCAGCTCAAACCTGTTTTCTCCGGGTCTTTGTCTCTCACAGGTATGCTCCACAGTATGGTCGGCTTCCTGGTGGACGTCGTCTGCTGTCGCTTTCAGATGGGAATCTATCGACCTCTGAAGGTAAACGAGTCAGTGATCGTAAACCTCGCTTTGAATTGAAACCTGTTTTTAAATTGATAAGAAATGTAACTCTCTTGGTGTTTTTCAGTAGTAATCATTCTGTGCTTCTTTCTCAGGAGGCTCCTCTGAATGAACAGGGAAACAGTGAAACCTCAGTTCCTCCGGAGGATTTCTCACAACAATGAGACGACAGAAACTCTGCTGCAGTCGACTGACGACTCCCCAGCTCGGCCTAAACCACTAAACAGTAGAACCTGACTCATGTGGGTTCTTGGGCGGATGCTGAGATTAAGGAGCTAAAAACAATTCTGATACAGATTCATCAGCCAATATTTATATATTGAAGAAGCGCGAATACAACTAAATATATAGAACAGGAATTGAGAAAATAAACATTTTTAACATGGAATGTCAACATGAATACACACATTTTCTGCATTGCTTATCCTGCAAAATAAGTTTAGATATCGGTCTGTAAAAGGCTCATACTGACCAGCTGAGAAATTGGTCGGGCTCTACCAGTCAGCAGTGACATGCTGGGAAAATGTTTACAAGTTGTTTTATCTTAAAATGTGTAAATATTTGTATCTTGTTTATTTTTATTGGATGGGTGTTTGATTGTTATTGGTACCTCCTCTAATGATCTAGTTATTTCCACTGGAAGTGTTCACCAGGACTGAACTAGACATGATTTACATCATTATTACAGTCATTTCTGCTGATTCTCTCGGTTATATTTCCGTCCACACACTTAATTGACAGATTTAAGCTTTTTTCTGATTTTCTTTTTTTCCATATTCTTTGGTGATGTCAGAAAAAAGCAGCGTATCAGCTCCACTTCAATCAAAGAGCTACAGTGAAGTAAGAACCTGTTCAGCACCTTTTAGAAGTGTGAAAAGTCTCGAGGGATTTTAGGATTTTAGGTTGTTCCACGTCGTGCCTGTGTGTAAATGATTGTTGCAAACATGAGGCTGACTTAAATAAAATCCACTCTGATGTGGTTTCATTGTTAATAATTACCTGTGTCTCTGGTATGTTCTCACTGAGTGCTGCATCATCAATGATTAATTATGAACTAAAAGATTTTGAAAATCACGTATTGCAGGTTTTTAGAGCCCAACTTGACATTCTCAGATTCCTCAAGCTATTCCAGAACTACTGGAGCAGTGAGGCCTGTCCCATTGTTGGTGCTGGACACTGAAGATGTTTGGGTTTAATATCAAAATTAATTCAACTTTTATTTTCTGACATGTACATCTGGCCTAGATCGAGAAATACTGTCACACCTTTTGTATCAGAAGGCCCCAGTTTCAGGCGAGCAACAGTTTAGCTATAAAGTAAATAACATGTAACATTTTGTTGAAATAAAAGGTGAAACTCTGATCTGTTGTCACACATTCAAAGTTTGATCTTAAAAAAGTCAATGTAAAACAAAGGAATTGGCCTCAGAGTTCTAACTGTTCAAGAAGAGACTGTGTGAAACATAAACAATATTCACATTTAAGAAGCTGGAAACAGAATTTAATATTTGGGTAATTTGACCATTCATTTTCTATCAATTGATGAATCTATTGAATAATTGTTTCAGTGGTTATGAAGTAAAACAACGTCCAGAAAAGAATATTTTACACCATGTCAAGAGTTTATTTGACAGTATTTCAGAATATCTTTCAGTAAACAAGTTTTTTATTTTTTAGCAAAATGTAATATATCAGTACTGTCGCATTTCATAAAAATAGTTGTTCACGTCTTTGAAACTACAGTATCAATGATACAGTAAACCATATTTGTAGGAATACAGCTGTACAAGGTGAATAGTACACAATAAACACTACACAGTTATACTTGATCTCGATGGGGATTTATGAACGTGCCATCCTTCACGGGTTCAGATAAAGCATTTTTTTTTGTTTTGTTTCTGTTTACAAAATCACTCACAGCAGGCGGGGTGGGGGGGCTGAATGGAGACAGAGGGCTGGATGACATAATCTCTCACCTACATACACTGAACACCTTGTTCCCACGCTCCTCACTAACATGGATCGCAGGTGAACTCAACCTTTCCAGTCAGCTCACAAACATCCAGGTGACTCTTTAGCCAGAAAACACTGGGACGACACAAGGTCGTACTAGAGTTCCAGTCTGCAGGTGCATCGTCCTAAAAGCAATTAACACGAACGGCTCGGATTCATTCAGTCACATTTTTAACAACGCTTACTATTTTTTAAAACTTATATTTCCTTCATTACTCAAAAACTGTAGTGTTTGATTTTGAATGAGAGCAAACGAACAATATCAAAATGGAGAAATGCAGGAGCATGGTGACTTTATCTGTGGTTTAATAGCAGCATGCCTTCGACTCGACAGATGTTTCAATGCATTTATGTTTCACTTTAAAAAATCGTTGCTTCCTGTACGTGTGTGGAAAAGACAAATAAAGCTGAAAATACACAGAACAGAAACCATGGTCCACTTAGATAATAACCCTGTCTGGAATAACGTTCACAGCTCGACTTTCCCAGGTTTACTCTCCGAGAAGAGGGTGTAATGCTACAGGCTACATCGTTTCCCCTCTTCGACACCAGGGGGGACGAGGGCAATCGTATATTCACTATAAAGCTGAGAGTGCATCAAGATAACCGTAGATACTGCTCGGTGTTAAGTCCGAAGAAAACAGGCTCCACAACTCAACGGTCTGCTGATATGTGTGCGTGGTCACTAACATCTGTTTTGCATTCAGTTCCCAGAAAACAAATCACAACAGCTCTGCATTAGTTTGAGTAAGGCACTCCGCCCCACCTCGTCACCATCGGCCTCCTCTTCCCCACACCGATGCCCCTCTCCCACAGTGATGTGGTGCACTTAGCACAGTAAAAGGCATAGAAATGGGAAATATAGACGGGACAGTTTTGTCTTTTCTGTTGAGCCTCAAATGAATACAGCACAGCTTCGAATTCTGCACAATGACTGCATGGTGGACTTGGGATCTGGTTGTGAACATAACTCAGAACAGTATAATCAGTTCTTACTAAGCAAACTGTCCTCAGTCACCCAGAAGTCGAACTTAATGAAAAAAAAGATCTTTGTCTCACATGAGAACTGACTGTTCAGCTCCACAGAGGATGTCCTCTCAATGTTCTACCTCTAGAAGACATGTGAGTCCCTGTCTAACGACATGGTGGTTTACATCCATGCACGCGACCGCTGCCTCCCTCAGCGGTCTGGTTTGGTGACTTTCACAGTCTTTGATATGTAGTCATAGACGAGGCCGTGGAAATATTGATCCTAAAATACTGTCCTGTGTTTTTTTTTTCTCTTTACAATGTTTCTAACTACAACACTGCCTTAAAAACACAGACAGGTTTGTTTTGGAGTTTACCAAATGTACATATTTTTCACATCTTTACATTTACAGTATATGATATATTGGTAGGCGTGTGAGATCTTAACATATGTCGGGTTAACCAGGCTGTCACTTGGGTCAGTGCCATGTCCTCCAGGAGTTTCAGTGTCACTTCCTCTATCTGACAGATCAGTCGTCTCATTTCTTGCCACTGCACAGAGAAAATGGAGCACAAGTAAAACTCTTGGCTGCACATATGTCTCTCTCCTGCGACAAACCTTTTTCCATATGAGGTTATGTTGCACTAACCGATGTGAGCCAGATTCAGTCGAGCGTTTAAACATCGACATCGTTTCTCAGTCTGTGATCAGAGCATCAACTCTGGCATCCGAGGGTCTAAAATGTCTTCATACTGAGTCCATCAGGGTTTATACTCTATGTCACAATAGCTGTGAACATTTCTCTGTTTTTTAAGGTGGTGGGTGTAATAATCATCTGGTAAGAACAAAACAAAATATGATTTCAGAAGTAAATGGAGAAGAAAACAGAACAGAAAGAAGGAGCGAAGGCGATATAAAGTTCTCAGATATCTGATGGTGAACTGAATGAGGAGCCAGACAGTGTGATCCAGTTCAAACCAGCTAGATCCATTCTACCTGCTTACAGTGGAGGTCCAAGACCTCAGGGTGCCAGGCAGTTTATCAGACCCAGGAATGTTCCAGGGTCCGGGGGAGGCAGCTGCACTCCTCGCAGGAGGATCCTCCACAGTTTTGGAGGGGCAGCAGAGCCCACTGTGACCACTGGCCCTCTCCTCTTCTCTGAGGTACAGACCTCTAGACACTGGCCTCTCCTGGAGGTTGACTTGTCCATCTCCACTTGCCAGAGAGGCTCCGTTTGAATTCACACTCACATATGCGTCCCAGGGCCAGACAGTGCTCATCGCCTGTGTGTGCAGGCCCTTTCTCTCACAGCAGGGGGAGCACGTCTCATTGGACCTCTCTCGTCTTTCGACGGCCCTCCCCAGGACAGCTTTAGGAGGCAAAGCCCGAGGCTGTCTGTCAACCGGTCCACAGTCCACCTCTCCAGACCCCTGAGGGGTTCCCTGCCCCCTGATGATGCACCTCTGCTGGGTGGACCTGCCACCTGTAGCCCCTCTAATGGAGCTGTGGTCTGTCAGCTGTGGAGCTTTGTCTGCCATGCACACTGTGGCCTCTAGGGGGAGTTGATGAGGGGAGTCTGGGGCTGGATGGGATGAGAGCAATGGAATCGGGTGGGGCTCGAGGGTCACTTCCTGCAGGGCAGATTGGGCTGTAGAAAGGGAATCCCAGGGGTTGGTACAGTCTGCAGGGCAGGAAGAAACACAGTCAGCTGCACTGAGATGAAAAAGAGGGATACGGCCAGCATGCACATGCATAGAGAGAGAAAAAAAGAGAGGAGAGGAGAAAGAAAGAAAGATGTACCTAATAACACGGTGACAACACATCCTGATGAACCTGCATGCAAACACCTGACCACATCGGCTTCTGTGATTTGTTACACCAACTGCAAACACTACTTCTACACATACAGACGTGTGTGACAGGATTTCATTAACATATTTATAGTCATGTGACTGACTGATCCTGAGCGACAGATTTCACACCCTCTACTTCACTGCCCTCTTCAGGAAGATGCAATTTCAACTTCTTATAATATTGCTCTTTTATGACACAGCACAACAACACATACACACATACGTCTGTTGTTTTCTCATGCGTACACTCATGCACACATGCCTAGAGTAAATCCACAGAGCACACAAATTAATCAGTATGGAGAGGGAGACGTGCAGTTTTTCACAAACCGTGTCTTTAGAGTGGCCCATTAGGAAGAAATAGGGGGAGCTTAGTGTGTCACCTTTCATGCACATGGAGAGGTTGGGAGGTACCATTCCTGAGGGAAGGCAAGTAAAAGCCTATACCAATCATTAGACTTAAAGCAGAGGGGTTACAACACACGGAGGCTAGAGAGCAGGTTGTTATTCTGCTGTTTGATCCATTATTTTTCAATATAAAGACAAGTTTAAAATGACAGAATAGATGAGTAGAGGGGAGTAAAAGGCAGAGAGATATTAATACATGTTAATATGCTCTTGAGTGTATTTAGCATTTGCAAGAAAAAAGCAGTTCTGGTTAAAAACAGTGATCAGTTCAGGGACTAGTGACAAAGACAGAGAAGAAAAGTTTGGACATTCGGAGACGTCAGTTTGTGTCGATTGAAACTCACCATAATCTGGCACCTGTCCCGTGCCTCTCTTTAACAGCAGCCTGACCCGCCTGCCTCCCGCCTTAATGAGTTCAATGGCTCGGGCATGAGTCATGTCTCGAGTGCTGTCCCCGTTAATCTCTATGATCTGATCCCCTACCTGAAGGACACACACACAGAGGGCACGGTCGGATTCTGTCAAACTGTGCTCATCCAAAAGTTGACTTTTTAGTACAACCACTGGAGCAACTGGGAAAAACACTTAAATAGAAGTTACAGAGGGTGAGCGGAGGGTTACTCTGTCACCAAGTTCACATGCACTTATTCACTTTTCCCCTTCTCTAACATGTAAGTCACAAGAAGAAGAGGACAGACAGTAAAATTAATATCTGAATTATCACAGGAAAAAGTGAAATATAAGAGGCAGAGCAGAGGATTTGAATACTTATTGTTATACTTTTACACCATCTTTAAATCTAGTTAAATATAACACGTGGACAGTGTGATTTTATTTGTAACAGACGTCAAGATTTACAAACTTAAACTCATTCTCATGTAACTGGATAATTACATTTCATTTCGTCAACAAAACAACAATAATCATCTCCCAAAGAGCATTTTAACTTTTCTCCTCTCATCTTCATCTCCTCACCCTCATCCTTCCATTACGTATGGCAGGACCGTCCTCAGCAAGACGCAACACAAACAGGTCCATCTTGTATTCTCTGCCTCCGCGGATACTGAAGCCGAAACCTTTCGCACTTTTCTCCAGCTCCACTGTGAAGTAATCGTAGTCCTGCAGAACAAAACATACAGTGCATGCAACAACACCTAGAGCAAATAACAGTATACGACCATGGAGAAAAGACAGATCACAGACACGCTCTCCACAGATAACTGATACAGATATGTAGACTTCCTGCTTAGCGCAGTGTCAGCTTAAAGGGATAGGTCACCAAAAATTGCAAATTCACTCATTATCTACTCACCACTATGCCGATGGAGGGGTGGGTGAAGTGTTTGGGTCCACAAAACACAGTTTCAGGGGTAAACAGTGTTGCAGCAGAATCCAATGCAATTGAAGCCAATGGTGAGTCCTTCAGACGTCATAAAACAACAGAAAAAACATAATATGCCTCCATACTTCTCATGTATTGTCATCCAAGTGATCGCAAGCCCCGACATTCATATTCGACTCGAAACAAGGTCATTTACACTGTGTTTTAAGCCTAAAAGTCCACAGGAAGTGGCTAAGCTAGCGGTCCATGAATGCTCCTCATATGAAGGCAACAGAGGACTTGAGTTTTATGGACTCAAACATCATAATGGTGAGTGGATAATGAGTGAATTTTCATTTTTCACTGAACTATCCCTTTAAGCAGACGGCCCTCGGCGAAGCTTTACCTGTGGTCTGAAGTCAGCAGGGATCCCCATGGGGAACTGTGCTGCGGCAGGATGCTGTCTAAAGTCCAGCAGACCAGGCGGGTGTCTGTAGTCCAGTGTGGGAGGCTGTCGATAATCGGTAACCGGTGGGTGACGGTAATCTACCGGAGGTTGCCTGTAATCAGTGAACGGAGGATGGCGGAAGTCAGGTTTGACATCCTGTCTGGCTTTTACCTCTGACCTGTGAGGATAAAAAACAGCTAAATCAGAGGTTTGTGCCATGATGGAGACGAGGTTTTAAAAAAAGACAGGACGTGAATGTCCTACAGAACTCAACTTCACATCCCCAAGATATCTTGTAGATATGTAGCCGCTAACATTTGAGGTCAGCTTGTCATGAGAGGGACGAGGATATAAGGATCAGTGAGTGTGTGCAGTCGACGAGGCTCATCAGGAGGAGGATGGAAATATCACTCTCTGTTTTGAAACTTTTATCAAGGCCCCACTTGTAAAATGGGCACAAATCCACAGCGCTGGGAGTGCTGCTCTCAGTGTCTTGATCTGACTCACATGCACTCGCACTTTCATAGTTTTGACATGAAACTGGGCCTGATCGCTGGGTTCCTGCATTATAGAAGAGATACCTTAAGTAAATTATTCACTGACACTGTAAGAGCTAAGTGGTGTTATGCAATAAAGTTGAAACCAGCCTGAAACTGAGAGTCGGGGTGGGACAAAACTTGTCTGGAGTAGCAGGTTATCTTCTGAATATACTGCCATGCAAGGAGAGGATGGGTCACTCATCTGTACATAAGGTTTAATGTTGGTCACCTTTAAAAGCTCCTGCTTCTTTTTCCTTTCACTGAGACACATACTCTTTATGTCACAAAATGTAGAACATCCTTCTTACCTGCCATCGTGGAGGTAGAGATGTGGAGGGAGGCCGGAGGGCTGGCTGACCGGGCTCTGCTGGGATCCAGCGGGTGCAGGCTGGGAGGCTGCGGGTGCAGGAGGGCCCGTCACTGCTTGACTTGTCTGAGTTAGTGCCTGGCTGGATTGGACAGGTGCTTGACCTGGCTGAGCGGCCGTTTGGCCCGGCTGAGGAGCCGTTTGGCTGGGCTGGATGCTTCCTTGGCTTGGCTGGGCTACAGGGCTGGGCTGGGTCTGAGGGCTGTGTTTCTGGGTCATGGGGCTTTGCTTCTCTGAGCCGGGCCCAGAATGGGAACCTGTGAGGGAGAGAAAGTCAGACAAGAGTTTCACCTGGGTGGAAAATATCAAACACTGAAGGTAGAGGACAATTTGAAAGAGATGCTCAGGAAGTTATCTGCTGAATAAACCTTGTTATAAAGCAGAAAAATTTGAAAACGTTGTAATTTCTCAATGTCATTAGTCAAGGCTGAAGAAATCGTGGCTCTGGCTGAAACAAGTGTCACCTTGATCAAAAATGTGTAGAAGCTTCACTGTGCTGAACTTCGTGTTCTTTCAAATTCATGCAGAATTGCTTTGACCTTTTTTTAAACTTCAGAATAGTTCACATAATGAATTTTATGAGCAAGTTTCACCTTGGCCAAACAAAATAAAATGTATCTAGTTTACTGACTTCAGCGAGTTGTCATCATCAAGTACAAAGACAAACCTAAACAAGCAGCCACTAAAAACTCACAATGAAAATCCCTCGATCACTTACCCTCCTCTGGAATGATGTGCAGCGTGACCGTTAGCCCAGCGTCTTTGATGAGCTTGACGATGTCTGCGTGTGGCATGCTGATGATAGACTGTCCGTTCACAGCCAGGATCCGGTCGCCCACCTTCAGCTTCCCACACCGGTCTGCGGGGCTGCCCTCAATGATACGTCCGATTTTATGAGGCACAGCTGGAGACAGACAGAAACAAGAGGAAAAGAAGATGTTGAAACAGCATCTATATAAAGTCAGTTTTAAAGTTACTGTCTACAGTTACAAATTTGTTCAATGAATGATTCCTCCAAATTGAGTCATGAATCCCACAATCTGTTTAAAGACAACCGCTCTACTTAGTGTAACCACATAAAGCCTCATTTAACACTTGTAACACGAACTTTGCTCTGAAATAAATACAAAAAACAATCTTTAAAAAACAGCTCAGACCTCAGCTAAAGCAAATTATTCTAACAATTGGCTGGGATGAGAAACACTGCTCAAGTAAATGAATTGGTAGGGGACCGGGAGCCCACTGGTTATTAGTAAAGCAGATACAATGGATATAAGACTTTTAATCATGTTTTACTCAGAGTAAAGCAAAACAATCTGATCTCCTATAAGTGATTTTAATAAATGTTTAATATGTAACAGTTAAGATGTATATTTTTCTCACATATAACAGCCACAGAGACATGATGTCATTCCCTCAGGATCGTGGATAGGATAGGATTTGCGTGGATTTACAAATCACCATTTGCATTAAAGCAACCTTTAGGCAACTCACTGATGACAGCGGCGTTCTCCGGTCTGTTCAGGGAGCTGATGATGACGAAGCCGAAGCCTTCGTTCTCCTTGCGGTGAATAACCACGTCGCTGGTTTGCAGCCCGGATCCCTCTGGAGGAGAGGTGGCGGCGGGGGCAACAACGGCTGGAGGGCCCGAAGCGGAGGCTGCGTCGCTGCGTGGAGAGCTGTGCTGTGTCGACACTGAGCCGGGGCTGCGGCCATTCACAGGACACAGTTCACCTGGAGCGGAAGCGTGAGAAGGGAGAGGACAAATAAAGGCGACATCTGTGCTACTGTACAACACGAACACTTCACTCACAGAGGCTATGTATTTAAAAGCAGCTCAAGATGTAGCCACTGGAGAAATTCCAGGTATGCACACTTCACCTGCAGCAAAGATTCTCTGTGGAGGTCTAAGTCTGCTTGTCTGCCACATGCCATCACAGTTGTATTACACTTAAAGACACAAACCACAGAGGCAGCTACAGTGATCGCACAAAATATGCGTGGGTGAGAAGAACAGGCAGAGCCCACACACAGATTGTCAGCATGTGTGTCCTGTCCAAGGCGTCTTTTTCGACTTGATGCCAGTGAAATGTGCAGCATGTTCTCCAGGCTTTGTGAAAAAAAGACAAAAGAACTAAATAAATAAATAAAACTTGTCCTCACCAGGCATTTGCACTCTCCTTCTCACAGTCAAGCTGACTTGACCGTTGCGGGCAGCTGCATGCATCAAGTCTATTACGTATTTGTGCGGTTTCCCAGCAACCACATTTTTATCCACAGAAATAAGCTCATCCCCGGGTCGAAGCCGCCCATCACGCTCAGCGGGTGTGTTCTCTATTATGGCGCCAATAACAATCTGTTCAAAGACAATCAATATTAGCAGCATAGATGACTGTGAAGAGGATGAGACAGAGAAATCACACATCATTTCTTTATCGAGCTTCTTAAACTCGCTTTGGATGAGTGAAACTTTTTCCCACTTTCCAAATATTCTGCAGCCATATTCTCTGTGTATCACAGTTTGCATGCTGTTGGACACTTGCACACGTTAGCAAGGCGTTTCTTCAGTATGGGAGGTACTGAGCAGTTAGAGGGTGTGTGTATGTGTGTGTGTGGATGGACGTTATGTCGGTCTGTTTTGTGAACTGTAACTGGATGAAGAGTGTGAGATGAGGTTAGGTGCAGGTTGGTGTGTATGAGGTCAAAAATGTGTGTGGTCCAGCCCGTCCCATACGAGCCTTGTCACGGGCGTCCGGACTCACAGCCTGCACGGCCTCGTCTCCCCCCAGGATACGGAAACCGAACCCAGTCTTCTCCCTCAGCAGGTGCACCTCCACCTCCTCATACTCTGAACCTGACACACAGAGAGGAACACATTTAACATTCACCCCCTATTATGTGTTGCTGTGTGTGACGCAACATAACGTTCCATGAACCGAAGGATCTATACTCACGTCGGCTCTCGTAGATAGCCCTCGACTTCTCATATAGGTCATAAGGGTCAGGTTTGTTGAGGTCGAAGCCTTCAGTTGAATCAGGCACAGACGTGCGGTGCTGCGGCTGGTTTGGGAACGATGCGCCAGCCGGCAAGACTGGACCAGACAAGTTGGCCTGTGGGCTGCCATGAGGGTCCCACTGGTCTGTCAACTACAAGAACAACAAGAGATGTTTAACTGAACGTATGGGATCCCATTTGAACTGTGCAACAACATGTCTGTTCTTCGGTTCATGGAGATAAACAGAAGAGAACCCCAACCCCCATCTATTCTAACACAGGTTATAACACATTGTACACATTCAAATGTGACACTTGCTGCACTGTGCAGATCAAGAAGACATGAAATACCCCGTTTTCTAAAATGAAAGTTGGAATCTGACACCACCTCCCACTTGAACAACAGAATACTGAGTCATGATGAAGCCTCTAATGTGTGTAGTATTGGATTACTTCGGGGCAGCTGTGCGTGGCGGAGTTGCGTGTGGCACTTCTTGAATCAGCTATAGATTGATCCACATAGACAGTATGATCTGTTTTTCAAGTTTTCATACGATTAAGCAGCTGTGGATATGACGGGAAGTTACAATAAAGGAAAACAGCTATTTAAGGCAGATATAATAATGAATTTACATCACTTTCAACTATTTAAATTCACTCCTACCTACAGAGGGCTGTACGGTCAAGCTCCTGCATTTTGCGGCTGATCTGCTTCACCCTCCTCACTCACCAGCTTGCTCTCCTAGGTCCACTAAGCTTATTTACATGTTCTCGCCCACACACTTTAAGACTGATGGCGATTAAGCTTTTGACGCCGTAGCACCTAAACTGAACATTTTTGCACTGAGGGTCTGATGATTATGTGTATTCTGTAGAAAAGGCAGCTAAAGACACATCTGTTGAAACATGCCTCTGGGTAATCTGTTTGGTATTAAACTTTACTTACTGACACAGATGAGATGAGATTCATAATGTCTGAATAGAATAATAACAGTTTGAGTATGAATCTGAGCTTTTTCCCAGCTGGCGAGATCTGATGTGATCAAACCAATGAGCTCAGGTTTAGGAGAGAATGGTTCATTTTACGATAAAGCAAAAGACAAACACCTCCGAGGCAACAACCTCACTGTCAAACAACGATCCTATAAATTGCTAATTTACCTCCTGGCTTCAAAAAACGAATCACAGATGGACAAACCCACACGAGCAAACACACAGTGGACATACAGCGAGCATGCAGACACACATTTGGTTCAATTATTGTACCTGTTTGGACGCCTTCCATGGAGAAATGTGGCCTGAGGGAGAAAGAGAAAACACAGTTGACAGAGAGCAGAGTCCAACGATATGTCAGTTCCTTATCAAACTACAAAATACAGACAATTATAATTATACAAACGAAAACAATTGTAATGGAACCTACAGTTTGCGCAAAGGTTTCTATGAATGTGATGCTGGATGTGAGTGTTAAACAAAATCTGTTTCATATTCTTCTGTTTTGACTTTGTTTGTGTAACTTTCCCTGAACGGATTTGGTTGTTGCATTTGTTTTCAACATAATTACATCATTAGCTGCAGGCAAAAACAAGGACCCCCCTCCCCCAAACACACACACACACACACACACACACACACACACACACACACACTTATCTCTGTAAGTCATATTTCATCTGCATGTAGAAAGCAGGGAGCATTCTGCAACAATCTCATCAGCAAGGCTCCCCTGTGATTCCACTGAATCAAAGACATTCACTACATTTATGCTGCTGAGACCCAGTTAGACGTGAAGGGGAAAACATGCGATGGCTGCTTTGTGCAAACATTCTGTCTGAATCTTTACACATGTGGATAGAAACATAAAAACTCATTTATCATGCAAAGCACACTCCCGCTGCATCGCTGATGAATCTTTTAACAGATTGGACGCTTGTAAGTTATCCTAAGGAGAATCTTGATTAATTTGGTTTATGAGAGAAATGGATTAAATATATCTATGGAATTACTCTCCAAGAGCATCTGCCTGCTCTTTTAGATGTATGAGATTGGCACCAGAAATCACATTTGTGGAAAATTACACATGATACATCACTTCCACTCCATGTGAAGACAGAATAAAGAGTAAATTCATTTCTGCTATTCCTTACACTATTTCACTTTTAGTCTTTTCACACTTTTTAACCTTAGCCCTCCACTCAATCAGTACGAGCTACAGGAGATTCATAATCAAAAGCAGCGAGAAATAAAACTGCTCCTGTCTCTTAATGAGCGGGGGTTTGAGGAGAGCTGTCTGTGGTGCTGAAATGATTCAGCACAGTGGCAGCAGCAGAGGGAGCACTCAGAGGGATGAGCAGATTCTGCAGGGAATACAGGCCTTCAGGGACACTTTTAAGGAATTCTAATAACTCATTCTCATGAAGCATTCCTTAATGACACACTGAAATGAGTGCGAGCTACAGGGCAATTGTCCGCTCATACTAAAGAGGAGCGTCATCCTTACGGATGCATTTAAGCTTAATTTAAATGTTAATCTGGTTCATTGGCATATGTGCCGGATGTGTGGTGCACTCGTATGCATTCTGATGAATTACAAATGAATGACTGGTAGACAGGTTTCACGTGGCGTCTCTCTCTCTCTCTCTCTCTCTCTCTNCTCTCTCTCTCTCTCTCTCTCTCTCTCTCTCTCTCTCTCTCTCTCTCTCTCTCTCTCTCTCTCTCTCTCTCTCTCTCTCTCTCGAGTCAGTGGTCAGGCAGTCTGGCAGGCCGCAGTCACAGACTAGCCTGCTGAGTTCTGGAAGGCCTTCAGATCTGCCTGATTGGCTCGTGCAGCCAGACAACCTTTTCTTTGTTGCCATGATCTGCATCCTCATTGGTTGAGCAAAGTGTCTCCAGTCTGTGGTTGGCTCTGCTTCAAATTGGGATGTCGGGAAGGAGCTGTGAACACGACCAGAGCTCAGTGGAACTCTGGCAGAGAGCCCACACTACAGCGGAGCAGTCAGACACAGAGACAAACACACACACATACACACAGTCACACATTCAGCAGTAGTCTAACACCTTGTCTCTGTAACACAAAGCACCAATGCTCACAGTCACATATCTGCAGTCATGTGTGCTCCCTGAATTCCAATAGATGCAGGATTTCTGTGCTCTGCAAAGATATCCTGCATCTGCAAACACAAACAGGCTTAATCCTTCCTGATATTTTGCATATCTGAGCCCCTGTGGGACCTTTGTCTTGATTTGTTTGATAGATAGCACTGATTTCAGCATCCTATTTAAATGGCGTATCTGACGGGGAAAGATGTGTGTGCCTTTGCAAAGGTTAACCACCAGGTGGCAGATGTTTGCTCTGCATGGGCATAAGATTCACTGCTGCTCACTGCCAACACACACAAACATGCTGGCAGGCACGCACACTCACACAATGTATTTTTTTCTATTCCTGCAGCAAACACTTGAGTCATTTGTGCTGCTTATCACACTCAGTAGAATTTATTAGCTTTAATGTACAATGTAATGTAATTAACAGTGATTGTATAATTCACTAAACAACATGCAGAACATAATCAATTCACTTGTATAAAGCAACACTTTGCCAGTACATCTCCAAATATATTGATAATGCAGTGTAGGGTGCAGACAACACGACCGGCGTAAAATCAGAAAAAACACCCAGAAGCACTGACATCAGATGATCTGATGTATCAACATCACTAAGAGCTATTGTCTCCATTGTTTGTCTGCATTTCAATAAAACATGCTGTCACACTTCACACTTCAATTAATTAAACCTGAGATGCACATGAGACTGATTGCCTTCATAGCTAGTTAACTATAACTCATAAATGGAAACGCTGATCTATAATTTGTCTTATTTGCTTTGTTATCATCTCAGAAACGATGTAAAGGAACTCTCCTAAAAAACTAAAAATTCAACGACAAAACGAGAATGAAAATGTAAACAACAAAGCTGCCTGTTGGCACAGGAAGAGCAAAAGGTGAACCTCTGAACTTTGTCTTTTTAAAAGGCCAAACAATAGACAGTGTTAGACTCTCCGGACTTACATCTAAGTGATGCTGGATGATAAATCACTGCAGGACGAGTTTTTCTGAGTGTGTGTGTGTGTGTGTAGGTGTTTGTCAGATGACAATGGGCTCAGCTGTACAGGCAGCCAAAGGTAATTATCAAGTCAAATTTCACCCTGTGACCAGGCACTTTTTAGAGCAAGAGCACATGTCAAACAATTAAAACGTTCACATGTGCAATTCAATTTCCTTGCAAGTGGCCAAGCTCGCATGAAATAGGAGAAGTAGGAAAATGGCCACACTCCATGGCACTCTGGCAATATTACAAGAACCCTGCACTTAAAACTTCCCCCACTGTGAAATGTTCTCTCATTCCTCTTTTCAGGTACTTTAAATCTCCATTTTGATTTACATTCTCAGACCAAGGGCATGTGGTCTTCTGCCTCTTTCACTTCAAGAGAGAAGATAAAATGTGCAGAAGAAAATTACAGGAGGCGAGGATCAGTTTGTGACAGAGATTCAACCTGTGACTGGTATTATGGAAAAACTCCGGACCTGAATTCTGTGTCTAAACACAAAAAGAGCTTAAACTGAGAGCAATGAAAAATGTCTTTGTTTAAAATCAGGTGTAAGATGAAACACATTCTATAGTGAGAATGTTCCAGAGGAATCAAAGATATTAATTAATCATTTTAATGCACCTTTAGAGCTTTTTGGCAGCAACTGTGCGTGATCCAGCATCTCATCATAACTGACCATTTGTACTCAGAAAACTGTAAAAATGCTATTTGTATAATCAAAGCTTCATCATTTCAGAGTTTGGGATTCAGTTGGTCCATGTAGCCAAACAGCATCATGCCAAACCAGTTGAGTTTGCCAGCGAGACACTTTCATTTATTTTGAGCAGGAGTGGCTCCAGTAGAATGTAACTGCTTTCCCCACAGCAGCGGTGATGCTACCTCTCATCCCCAAGCTCCACTGCATCTTTCATTTTCAGCTGCTTGATGGTAAAACACTTCCCAAATATTCAACCCTCTCGGCTTCAGTAGAAAAGATCAATGACATGTTGGTGATAAAGCAGCATGTGAGAACACATGGTGTCACACACACAACAGTGACAATGACATCTGCTTTGTATTCTTTGTGTATTCTCTGCACGAGTCAGCACATGAAATACACACATTAACACATTATTCATTTTATTTCTATGTTTTTTTAAATTCTAATAGTTATTGTATCCTGGGGCTGTTTGCTGCTGTAATCATCCAATTTCCTCATGCTAAAAATGTTATATTTCTCTCAACCGACACATAGAAATGATTGGTCTGCAAAACAGACCAAACAGAATTTTTTGACTTTTAATTAAATCACTATTTTTATTTCAAGACATAATATGATAAGTTGTGCAGTTTTGCTTGGGCAAAATTATTCTTCTACCTTCCAAACTATTAAATGTTCCAAAAATAAAATGTCACCTAGAGACTTGAATAAAATTACATGAAAGTGTTCAAAAATAGAACAGGTTTCAAATTGATGATAATGAAAATCTCTCTCAATGTGTCAGCTCTACTGACTCTCTCCTGTAAACCTGCAGCTGGGGTTGAAGATCTACACCAACTTGAATTCAATCCAAAGTCAGCTTATATTTAGCTGGACAGTTGCTCTGCACTGGACCCGTCTTTATGTTTGCAAAATTTTATTTTGGTCTTTCAAAGGTGCAGAAAGGCCACACTTTGACATTAATTGTGCTGTAATTATTTTTACCACAGCTAATGACAAATATAGATCAAGGAGTGTCAGCAGGTACTAAATGGGATTTAATGTGTTTGTCTGAACCTTTTTATTCAGGGACTCCACTACAGTAGTTTTGCATAAGTCACAGTTCAATAAATAGTCCTTTTTTATGTCAAACTGCTTGTTACACACAGCGCCTCATTGTCTGACTGAAACAATATCAGCTCACACCTCCACAAGTTAATCAGTGAGCATGAGGTGGTCCTCATCATCTCACCAGTGACTGTAGAACTGCAAAACTAATAACTAGTGACTAAGAAACAGAATGTAATTGATTGATGAATGAAACCCGATGTGGAACATGAGAGTGGACTGTATGAACATCCACAGCAACAAAGATCATAGTGAGACGTCTGTTCAGTAAATATTTTGACTGTTTGGGAACAAGTAGCTGTGTTCAGAATGGATGAGAATATATGAATCCATGTTTGTCACACAGAGAAAGAAAACACTGGAGCCAAGGCTTCAGTCTAAGGTCTGAACTTTTGATCCAAAACTTCAGCAACATTTAAAATAAATATCTCTCAGAATAGAATAATTAATAATTATAATTATTATAATAATAATAATACAAGTAATTCACATTGGCTCTATATAACCCAATACAAAGTATCAATTTACACTAATTTACTATACTTTACAGTAAATATAGTTCAAGTGTCCCTGATTTTATTAGGTAGAAGTTTTAGGCTTCCTTGTTTCCCTCATGAACAGAAAGAGTGAAGCTGTGTTGGAGGAGTGTAAAATAAAAACCAAGGAGACAAACAAAGAGAAAAGAAACAAGGAAACTGTTCCTCTCTCTCACCTGTTCCTCTCTGTATGAGGAGCGTTGCCTCTGCTCCCACAGGACACTCTTTCAGCATCTCCACCACTCGTCCGTGTCCAGCTGAAGCCACTGGCTGCTGGTTCACCTCGAGGATCAGGTCTCCCTCTATCAGGCCTGACGCTGCCTGTGAGCCTGGGTCCAGTACCTGCAGCACAGGAGCATGGCGTGTCCACCGAAAGTCAATTTGATCTACTCTGATCTACTTTGTGCTGAGAGATATTAATTCATCATTTTCATTCTGCAAACCAGTCATCTATAGTTGGTTCATAAAACCATTTCATTTAAAATGATATCAACTGGTTCAGAAATCAATCAAGACCTTTATACTGATTAAAGGTTTATAGGACCAATCATTCAAGATATTTTAAGGTGCAATTACTTTACTCCCCTAAGCAGACGTCTTATTTGTTTAAAGAATAATATGTCTTGAATGTCGAACATAAAGCAATTACTTGTTAAGACAGATGTTTAGTTTTTATGTAGCGCGGATGTTTTATTACATAAGTAAATACAACAGGGATGAGAAATAGCATCTGGCACAATGAAGCTTCTCTTGGCTAATGTATCTGTTCTTTACTACCTGGATTCCAAGTAAACAGGTTAGGAGTTTTCTTTTTCTCTATACACTACTGGTCAAATATTTAAGTACACTTTCCCCTGGGTAATGTCTCAGTGTTTCTGCAATGAAATAATTTATAAAGGCTAAATAAATCATGGATCTTCATTAAACAGCCAAACATGACTCGTGGGGTTCTGCCTACGATGCATAAATAAATATATAGGAAAAATACATACTAGAAAGTTCAACCTGTAATGGTTGCAGATGTTCCAATGCATGTTTTGCACTAATCTTTCACTTTACTTTCACTCCAGTTCATCCCGAATCAGCTTACTTATATATACAGTACACTGTCGTCCTAATTATGCATCCGAGGATATACTAACAGTCTGTTCCAACACTGCTTTTGCACAGGGACACCTGCAGGAATTGTTTGCATCAACTTGCAAGGATTCATTTGCATTTTCAATCTTTGGTGACCTGAAGTTAAAAATCAGAATCATGTGTGTGTTCTTAATCTTCAGACCAGTAGTGATTCTTCTTCAGAACAGTCTTCATTCATCACAATGGTAATAGCAAGTGGAACTGATTTTCATATTATCTCAGTCTCTTTCTTCTTAGTTGCATTGGCTGATAAAATTTGTTTTAACTCTGTCACGAGTTTAAATTATAACTCAACTCAACTACAGAGTTTAGCTGTCTACTGAGATTTCACTGCTCACATCCTGAGACACAGACAGTGAAATACAATTAAAATTCAAACACTTCTAAAGCCTCTTATTTCTGGTCTAATCATTGTCTTCTCAGTGAAATACATCACCTGTTTCACTCGTTGACCAGTGGGACTATCAGCAATAGTGAACCCAAATCCCTCCGCTCCTTTCACCATAGTAACCGTCAGCAGCTCTGCCCCTTGTGCAGTTGCCCCGGCAACCCCTGCAGTTCCTGAGGAGGCCATGGACACATTGTCTTCATGAGGCGTGAGCGCCGAAGCTGAGCCGGGTGTGGTGGGCGGCAGAGATGAACCGTCCAGATGCGTGTCCCCGGGGTGATGCGCTCCAGCCTGGGCCAGAGCCTGCGGAGGCAGCTGGGAGCTCAAGGACAGGTACTCCAGGTATGGGTCGTAGCTGCTGCGGCCGTTCACCACCAGGGGGCGGTGCTCCAGGCCAATGGGTGTCAGAGAGGTGCTCGCTGCTGCACTGGGGTCCTCAGGGTCAAAAGGCAGAGGATATCCTCGACAGAGCACAAGGGTCACGCTCTGACCAATCGGCACCGACTGAAACAGTTTGACAACGTCGGCATGTGTGGTGCCGAGCACACAGATGTCATTAATGTAGACGATGACGTCACCTGAGGAGGAACAAGAGCAAGGACAAAGTCACACTATGTTACATAGACCACATCATCTGGTCTCAGTGGTTCATATGTGTAAACATTCTGTGCCGCAATAATACAACTTGTCACTTCCTGTTGCCATAAATGTCAAATCTCTGCGGCATCAGGACACGAGGCAGCAGCACAGAGGAAACACACTGTCCCTCTCCAGTATCAGGAATATAAAAACAGTTCATTGCCACTGCAGGCGATCTACAAGTGTATGTGTGAGACAGAGAGGTGAAGAGAGACAGGGTCAGCGTCTTTGTGAATATGACAAACATGTGGTGCATTAACAGAGACACTCTCATCATTAACAGCTCAAATGTGTCAATGGATGTGCACAGTCACAGTCAGAAATAGTGTCAGTTTTTAGTCTTTCATTATGATGATGCATTTTCTAATGGTCTTATCTTTTTTTGATCTTGTGTGTGAGAAAGGTTTTATTTGTCAGGTTACACCCGCCCTGTCTGGCAGCCTAAAGTCATCACTTCACTAAATTGTACTTTTCTGTAAATTTGACTGGTTACTCGTTGCCATTTTTCCTGCAAATCAATCACAACGAGGTGAAACAACTTCACAAATGCGACACTGGATACTCTGTCATCTCTAATGTAGTTTGAATGTGCGCAAAGTTATGGATTTCTGCTTTAAAGTCACAGCCCCATGACAAATGCAGCTGCCTCAAATCCTCTATTTCACAGTTTTGGAAACACACTCTTTCACACATGCAGATACGCACACACTCCCATGAGCACGTGCACACAGATAAACACACACCCTATGTCACACGCACAATCCTACACAATCCCTAAGAGCAATGCCGCACAGCTCAAACAGGCCAGCTAATCTCAGCCAAGGAGTGCCCGTATGTGGCAGTGTGGCTATGCGCGCGTGTGTGTGTGTGTGTGTGTGTGTGTGTGTGTGGGAATATGTGTAACATGAATGTGTGCGTGAGCAGCTCAGGCAATGTCACAGAGCCGAGAAGAGCAAGATAGAGAGAGAGAGAGAGAAATCAGAACAGAAACAGAGAGAGGGGCTGACAGACCAGAATAGAGGGATGAAGGCAGAAAAACTAGAGAGGTAAAAAGAGAAGGGAGATGAAAATATACTGAGGCGGGAAGCAGGGGGAAGTGTCAGATGACGTGGTTAGATAAGAAAGCATAATAAAGGGTGAGCCAGATAGACAAAAAGAGATGAAGATAAAATAGAAAGAGATGGACTCCAGATACCCCGGAAAAGAGAAACGAATAGACAAAGGCAAGAGACATAAAAGCTCAGAGAAGCGGAGGATTCCCAGTTCTGAAATGAGCTCTAAATGAACGGTTTAGACACCAGTGGTGTCAGGCATAGGGCCAGCTGGTTCACACATATACAGTAAATCCTTTTAACTTATGAGACTTCAGCTCACTATGACTTTCACAGACATCGACTGTGCAGATTCGGCGTCAACCAAGGTCAGTTTCTGTAAAGAATTCAATCATTGAAATCTAGAAAACCATGAAAATCCACATATTGGTCACATGCAAATATACAGGAAATAATATATATACAGTTTTGTACAAATAGGACAGTTTAATGGCACCTCTGTACCACTGTATGACTGTTTCTTGATAATTCTGTGACCAGTGATGCTGCAGCTCCGGTGTCAAGGCAAAAGCAGAAATGATTCTCCTGATGAAGCAGCTGTTACGTGTTGACAGTCTGGTATCAGTTCTGGCCCAATAAAATGAGTTCCTCTCATTCTCTTTAACAAAAGCAGAGTGCTGTGGTGTACTGACAGAGTGCAGAGCGGTGAGAGGAAACTGAAGTCCTTGTCTGGGACACATGCTGCTACAGGCACAAATATAGGGCATTCCAAATATGCCACCAAGGGCCAATGATGTCCCCTTTTAAGATGAAAAGATATTTGCGGGGCTACTGAAACTTCTACTGCTCAGTTTTTCATTTGCATCAGGAGTATCGTTGCAATTTCATTAACATACATTACTGATAAATTATTTTCAGGGAATTTAAGAAACTCTGCGTGAGTTGTATCTTAAAAAGATTCAAAATCGTGATTCAAACACTTGAAGAGAAAACGATTGCAAGAAAAACACCAGCTGGAAAAAGAGGTCAAACTGTTATAAAAAGAAAGTTCTTTTTTTGTACAGATTATGTTTGTGCCTCTGTTGCCAGTTGTTTCTCCATCCCTTGGATAAGTGAAGGTTGAAGGAGAGGAGAAACCTGATCTGTGCTTAATTTGGATGAAAACATTTCTTGTGTTTGACAAAGACTCAAGGCAACAAAATATCAAACACTGGTTTATGATTCTGTTTCTGTTGTTATTGTTTTGAAGCATATCTCGTGAAGCCAAGGCAGTGAATTACAACAGGCAACAGTTGTATCACCTGTCAATCAGGGAAACAGCTTAAAACATATTTAAGGGCTTAATATCTCCTGATGGACAAAGGAAAAATGAACACTGAGCCACACATTATTAAAACAATTAACTATTGAGACACTAACTAAGGACTTCAATGATAATGAATTTGAGTGACTTTTTAAACTGAATTTGAATAGTCACTAAATCCATGAAGATTATATATATATATATATATATACTCTGTTGTGCTCCACTGGCCTTTAGGTCAGAAATCACCTCAAACACAAATAAAAACCTGCTTGAATTAGATTTCAGTCTTTACATTAGATCTTCTTTGGCAGGAAATTAATATTTGGAAATCGTTACCAGAAGGATGAGGTCCTGCTTAAGCATTTATAGGAACACACTATAATAGTATCAGCAGTGACGGCATGTTGTTTGTTTGATTCTTAATTTATTTCTCAAGCAGTTGTAGAAATTCTGCAGTGATAATCCTAAATACCTGTGTCCATCTTTCCATCCTGAGCGGCAGGTCCATCTGGTATCACACTCTTCACCTGCAGGAACTCGTCCGGCTCGTCGCCTCCTATGATCGTGAAGCCAAATCCCATGTTGCTCTTTTGCAGGCCAGTGGACAGGAAGGTGCCCTTCAGTTGAGTCGGGTCTCTTGTAAATAATGGCTTCTCTGTAGGGAGAGAAGATTGTGAAGTGGTGATATTTTCGTATCCTCGACATTGAGAGAACCACGTCCATTTGGTTTGTCAAATTATTTCTTTATAAATTAATTAACTACACATTTCATCTGAATGTGACAACACCAATAAAAACACGTTTCCTTAAATCCCAGAGGAGCTGACTCATTTTAGATGTAGTTTTCACTCATATGAAGCGGTACATGATGTACTGGTCTAGGACGACCTCATATGCGTGCCTGGATTAGCCCACTCGGGGCCCGGGGGCGAGCATGTTCTCTGTCCCCCGCACTGCCAGCAATCTCCATTCGACCCTGTACATTGTAACATTGTGCATCTGCCCCATCAAATACTTATGAAACTCCCCATTCTCTGACATATTTGGGGGAAATAAGAAAAACTGCACCATGTTCAACATAACAAAACCTGTAAAGACAAAAGAACAAACAATTTAAACATCTATCAGCACATGAGTTTTCAAGGGTCCTTTATGCCCTGGAGGCCATGTGCCATGCATGCCCTTTATGCAGTCCTGGCATTTTCATATTTGTGCAACTAAGTGAGTATGTCAGCAGGTTTTTATTACCGCACATATTTTTAGAGTACTTCACGTGTACCTCTGTATATAGTGGGCAAAGGTAGAGCGGACAGTCCCTGGCTCTGCATCTGCTGCTGCTGCTCCAAGCGTCTCTTTGCTTCAAGGACTGGGTTCTCGAACTGAGTCCTTCGATTGATGTGACTGAAAATAGAGTGAATCATTACAGATCATTTAGAGTCTTTAAGAAACTCTGCATGAAAAACATCAGGAGAGTATTAAACTTCTGAATTTAACAGAAACATATTTTCAGCAACTAATGCACTTGAGAGCCAAAAGTGCTCATTCAGAAAAGTGTTGCCTCCAGTGTTACTAAATTACATCATACACCTGTGTTTGTTTGACTCAACCATGAATCATCTGTTAGGTTTGTTGCACCTGTTCAGGTGGAAAAATTACACTTGCATCTTTACATCAATGCTTTGAGTCAGATGATCTCATGTTATTTCCAGCACACAGGAGCCAGAGCAGGGGACGAAGATAAAAGAACTGAAAACACAATTTTCCTGTGTTGACTGTGAATGAAATTAATTGGTCCAAGAGTAAAGGAATATAACAACATATTCCTTATACCACTGAAAATCAAATGTCAAGCTCATCAACTTGGATTGAGAGCAATAAATATTGTTGCTGTATCTACTGGCTGTAAGATCTTTTTTCTTTTTATAAAAAAAAAAATTGTTAAAAAGATTTGCAGCTACAGCTAAATGTAAGGGAATAAGATTTCACTTCTAACAGTTCATTTTGGTTCGACTGGAAAAAAAATGTGAAGTGCTTCAAAATAAAACAGCACCTAAAAGCAACATATTTAATACTTTTGATTAATCAGCAAGATTTTATCTGCAGCATTCTCATGATAGTTCTTTCACACGAACTTTCCACTGTCAAAGTTCAGTCAAACGAGCTGAAGGACATGAAAAAGAAATGAGAATTTATCCATTTATAATTAATAACGAGATGTAAACCATGGAAATGCATTCCCTGTTTTACTACAGAGTTAACCAAGTCAACAGGGAGACTTACTCTACATAGTAGCTGCCATAGATGGGGTCATCTATCTTCTCCCAGCCATAGGGCAGCTCTGAGAGGAAGGGGGAAACAAGAGGAGGGAAATTAAGTCAGTTTATGCTGAGAGCAGAAGAAGGGGGAATGTAGACACTAAATTGAACGACTGAGGGAAGACGACATGAATCTCAGGGCTCACAGCTAGACGCTCCCAAAGTGCTACTTTAATAGAGAGACAACACTTCGATCTGCAGCGGTGGCTTCTTCATGAAGACAAGAATCACAACAGAGACATCAATATAAAGCTGCAGGAGGAAAAGAACATTTAAATCGTCTGGCACATCACATCCTGCCATCTCTTACTTTTTCTTTCATTCTCTGTCCTTTGTCGTGTGCACAAATCCTCCAGGGCCAAAATACCTTCACTAAACTGCTTCATGTTTGTCTCCTCTTTCTTTCACCCACCCACTCGTTTTCATCTTGGAAGTCTTCCTCTGCTTTTGTGTCACTCGTCTCTGCCCTTGTGGTTCTCTCACCTTATCCAACCTTTTGTTGATTTTCTCCATCGTAAAAAGAAGAGGGTCAAGGCAGCGCTAATATTCACATGAACAAAACCCTGTTCTTCTCTTTTACTTCCCACTGACGCTCACACTCTGCAAACTCCAGGATATTTTGGTTTGGGGCTTTATTATTCATACTTCACTAAGTCCTAATCAATACACAGAGGAGATTGATCCCACACTATAAGGCCGAGGTAACACAAATATACACACACACCCACAGTAAGTCGATCTTCCAGAGCTGCTCCCCTCCCTCTCAGACTTATTAGAAACACAGCACAGTCGATTAGGAGTCATCAGTGAAAATTACTGAAAGGTTGATCTTCCTCCTTCATATTAATTCATCCTCATGTCTTGTTTAATAAGAGTATGAGTCTAATTCATGACTATATCTGTAAGTGGGCATTCTCCAGTGGGAAATAAAAGCAAAACCTGATATACACTAACGGTGAGTCATCAGGGACCTGGCATGAACTTATTACTAAAACACACACACACATGCACGTATATATACACAAAGAAACACAAGAGCTGATGGCCTTGGTGGTGGAGGAGCTTGAGATGAATAAATAAAAAGGGGGGATAGAGTGTGTGTGTGTGTAAGGGTTTGCTGGGAGTTGGATTTGTATGGAAAGGTGTGTGTTGGTGGCATCTACAGGGAGTTCAGTTTGTGCATCATTAGCTTGCACAAGTACCAACTGATGTCTGCCACTGGAAACACAATGTAACAGATCAAAATGAGATGAAAACTAAGAAATGTTTAAATCAGACTGGACATGATTCGTAGCCTTGTTTCTTGTTGTTTGATGGGATTGTTCAAATTCAAATCAGGAATATCATACATGTTTATGGGTAGTACAGGTTTAGATCTCCAAAAACTAATTCATTACAGCCCCAATACTCATCGTACATTTTAGATTTTATTCAGGTCAATTTCTTGTCTGACTGTTTGTGCCTGAAAACTATTTGATATTTTAAAATACTTTGGCTGCTTTTATGAAATAAAAATTGGGTTTTAGTAGGAAATTGTGACCTTAACATAACTTACAAATCATTTGGTATTATTATAGGGAAATTGGAGAATCCTGCCAAGTTTTATCTGAATTATGTTTTTATCGTTCATTTGTTAAGAGGAAATATGCTGAACTGTGCGTTTGACAGATTCAATTAATGCATGTTCAGTTTCTGTGCAGTGACTAACTACGGATAGTTCAAATTAAAAACCCATGAAGAAAAGCATTACCAAAATTATTTCTCCAAACAAGGTGTTGTGTTGGCATAAGTAGAGAAAAATTATAAATAAAAAGAAGCTGAAAACACAACCCAAGCCTCTCTTTTTAGGAATCAGAGAGGCAGACACACACACACACACACACACACACACACATTTTTACAATTATTTGGTCTGTGTGATGCTGATACTGTGGCATCATCCCCTCATGCTGTTATGTAATTATGAACAGATTTGTAATCTTGATATCAATAACCCATGTGTAAACGTGTGCATCCATGTGTGTGTTTGTGCATGTGTGTGAGTGTGTGTCCTGGCTTGCTGAGCTTGCTGAGTGTGCAGCTCAAGGTGAAAAGGGTGGATGCCGCAATTATCTTTTGTCTGCTCTACCGTTTGCTCAAAGTGTCTGCACTGTGCCGCCATTACCTTAAGTAACCCTTCTCCTCCTCTGGGTGGAAAAGTCTGATGGATTCACACTTCAAACCACCTTAAATTCCCTCACGACCCATCTACGAGCCACCTTAAATGTCTGACTAACTCATCCACTAGTCGCTTGCCCTCCCCCTAAAGTGAAAGGGAGACAGTTTCCATGGAAACCACGAGTGGTCTTTTTTCTCGCCTGAGCTGAGGGCTCTGTCTTGTCTCTATTTCCTGCCATTAAAATAAAGAGGGACACAGAGAGAGAGGGAGTATGTATGTGTGTTTTATGCATCCATATGAGTCTGTATTTGCAGTGTTTGTGTGTATTAGACGCCTGAACTGTGTTTGCATGTCATCTTCTTTGACACTGAATCAACACCTCACTGTGTGTGTGTGTGTGTGTGTGTGTGTGTGTGTAGAATGAGCACTGGGGGACTTGTTTGTGTTCTTGTTTATAGGTTTGTGTATTTCTGTCTCTATTGACATAAAGTCTAATTGTGGCTCCTGTGCATTAGATGACTCATCTTCCCCCACACACAAAGTTTTTCTGAACAACAGGCAGCCACACAATGAACTCAGAGACGAGGTCAAAACCTACACGACTGGACTGAGAAATGTCAATGTGTAGAATTGAGAACGTTTGATTATAATTAACATATTTATTATGTTATCGCTTCATATTTGCATTCTGCCTAATTTTGGTTTGTTCCTCTCCTACTCTCCGTCCTCACATGTACATTAAGTTAATAAAGATACATTCCAAATAAAGCTGGTCTCATTTACATGTTACATACAGAATAGTGTTTGAAACGTGTCTCGATACGATCACATGTTAACCAGGAGTCACTTTTAAAAACATTAAAAAGCTGCTGCTGTGCTCGGCTAAAACCAAAACCAAGTGGGTTTCTATTTGGTTTAAACTACAATCATTGTGCCCGATGGCAAAATGATAAGAAAAATATTCTGCACAGATGTTTGATGAAAGATGTCTGAATTTTTAATTGGTGTTAACAGTGTCAGTTGCCGTTACTTGAATAAATGAATCTAAATATGTATTAGTCGCAAATTTCCTGATTACAAAAGGCATCATTGCAGGTGTAGATATGAGCACATTGAAACATGATGTGGGAAAGATTTTCAGTCATGTGTGTTTGCATATAATTATTCAGGTGTTTATGTGGAGAAGTTGTGTATGTAAAGTATCTTCATTTGTATGTGTGAGGTTTTCAGTAAACTTTGTGAAAGAGTTTGATGTCGTATATAGGTCTAAATAATATTTCTGATTGCTCCTCAGGTAAATGTGATCACAGGGGACAGAGAAACGGTCCTGATCCAGACATGTCTGAGCGTAAAAGCAGTGATTGAACTGAACTATTTTGGCATCATTATCCGACAGATGTTTGACTCTACTCATATTCAAACCATCTCTATCTCCATTTGTCTCTTTCTTGCTCATTTTAAAGAAGAGGCTCCAGCAGGGCATCACTCTGCTCATCATCACCAACTCCTGCCTCTAAATGAGCATGAGCAGCACATTTTCATCAACAGCACTGAGATTACTTTGAAAGCAGCCAAGGGATTGAGTGCGTTTCAAAGGCAGGACTGAAACCAACACTTGCCACGATTTGAAGCTTGTCCTGCTCTGTTCTTACCTCCTCTGAAGAAGAGAGGAGATATGGGCTTGTGTTACGTAACAAAAGACTTGCCTGACAAAAAGACTGCGAGGGAACCGGATCTGTGGTGACAAGTCTTTGAACTCTCTGAGTCAGTTTCAGCACACAGATACAACTGCAAAGGAAATTTACTCTCGAAAATTAACATACAAACAAAACATGTTTTACATATTCCCTATGATTAAACAAACAAACAAGCAGTGTTCTATGCAAATACAAAAATCCATTATTTTGTTATGCACACACAAAATGCATTGGAAGAAATAGACAACATATAGTGTTTCTAATATAATGCTTCAGAAACAAATACAGCATCTCTAACATGTACAGAGAATATCTCGTGTCTTTGGAACAATCTTTCCACTGCGAATGTGTTGACGTTTTTTTCACATCTGAGTTATTAGCCCTCCACCACAGCAGGTGGTGCTATGATTCTATTGTGAACATGTGAATGATGGCTGACTTAGCTTAGTCTCTGACAGCTATGCAAATGGATGAAATTTGCATTTAAATTCTCACTTAGTACAAAGCAAGCCCGCAAAAAGCCTAACCTTCAGAAAACAGGCAGAAGCTTACAGTACAGGACTCAAAGCGACATGGAGATCATTACAGAAAATGAAAAAATAATCAGTAAAATAAAGAGCAGCTTGCTGGATTAAATGACTGTAAATGCTTCTGTCACCCAAAAGGCTACTGCGCTATTTGTACTAAGAGAAATGTAAGACATTTCCTGGCAACTAAACCTGTTTTTCTGGCGGCCATAAACACAAAGGTGCTCTGAGAAGATGTGATGTGTCACCCAAGACCTTCACAAATGTCTTCAATTCAAAATCCTCTGCCAGTGATCACTCAAGCATCAACTTCCTTAACCCCTGCATTCCTAAAGATAGAAACACGCAGACCAAAAACGAGAAAGACCAGATCAACTGCACAGGAAATAAACTGCAGATGAATGAAAGAGAATGAAGAAAATGAGGAGAATAAAGAGAAGGAGGAGAAAGTAAGAAAGAAGAACTAATGAAGGGCTGTGCATTTAATTCAAATACATAAACATGGCTCAGATATCTATCTCCTACTTCTCAGAGAGAAAGATAAACACTGGTCATGCAATATGCAAACGACAGAGTGTGATCACATATCACTGATTTAATATGACTGATATCCCAGGTCAGATGTTGTCACTGACATATACTGAAAGAAAACTACATTTGGATCTGGACTATAGAGACTTGAAGAGCTACCTGACAGGTATGGCTAAATATAATCCCCATGCTGATGGCTGTTGGTGACCTTCTATCAAAATACCTTTTATAAAGAGCAGAAATGAAACTGGGGCAGTTAGAGGGTTATGAAAAACATGGTATTTTGTATTGACATTCATTTTCCCCTGTGGATGAATTCCATCGTCTCTGGTGACACCCTGATTTTGACGTGTTTGACAATTTTGTGTTTTAGTGAAATGTCCTGAACACTATTGGATTGATTTCCATAAGATGTGATAGACACTCATGATCCCTACAGGATGAAATGTAACATGTATAATATCGACTTTTCATCTATTGCTAACTATAGGATTGATTTTACTTCACATGGTTTGGTTAATATCTGCAAAAATGACATTACCAGCAGCCTCAACTGTATTTTGTTATAGTACAATTAACAGGGAGGGCTGGGAAATATGGCACAGAATGTCATCAAGATAAAAATAATAAAAATAAAAATAACAGGACAAATGTCACATTATTAAGTTAAGAGTGATTGTTGCTCCTGAGTGATTGTTAAACTCTTCTTTATGGGCAGAGCAATACTTGCAAAATCTGAGGTAGAACATTAAAACCAGATGTTATATTGTCATTGATGAAATGACAATATAATTTTGGTAAACAATATACCTGCCTAAAATAAGCATGTTAGCATTGTCAATATTAGCATAATAGCATGCAGATCTAGCTCTGCTGCTCCTGAGTACGGCCTCACATTGGGCTTTTGGCTGTAGACTCTTAGTCTTGTTTCTACACAAACCAATCAATCATTCTTTGTCTTGATTAATACATTCTAATATTGTGTGCATAGTATGTAGATATTTATTTGGTATGTTAGTGATCCCAAACCAAAACAGAGCGTGAAGCAACAGCAAGTCGTTGCACTGATACACATAATAAGTCATCACAGACGCCACAGCTGATGGAAAACTGGCCTCTGAAGATCCCTGACTGTTTGGAAACTGATCTTTGCTCTGCCAAAATTAAGCTGACATACTTTGGCGAAGGGTTTGTGACATGACAGCAGTAGTGTGTGTGTGTGTGTGTGTGTGTGTGTGTGTGTAGAGTAAGAGAGACTGAAAACCAGTTTGTGCAGAGCTGAGTGGTGTTATTGGAATTCTTGTCACACTGCAGCCCTTTACTGGAGAGACGGAGGGAGAGGGAAAAAAGAAGGGGGGAAAATTGAAGAGAGGGAAATTGAAAGGGGTGAGTGACAGAGATGTGAGTCAGAGGAGTGCAGAGGGGAGAATGGCGGAGGGAGAAAATTGAAGAGATGGAGAGCAGGGGAGAGGTAGAGAACCTATTGATTCAGATCTTGCTCTGGTGAATCACATCACAACCTAATTTGCAGACTGAGGGCAGCAACAGAAAAAGCGGTGTACGATCAACCTCACTGTAATAATCTGATCCCACTGAACCAACACAGGATCTCTCTTATTCATATGACTGACATCAGTGCTGGACTCTTGTTGATTTAATTCCCGTTCTTGTTTTTTTGGCCTCTGAAATATAATTTTAAAGATTTTTCATTCATGCAAATTAGCTTCCCTTGTTTCAAACTGCTTTAAAACAAACCTTGAAAAACAAAACTACTGACATTCTATGTTCTTTTGTCAACAAATTCTATGAAAAGACCAAAAAACAATGAACTGATCCGGCTGATTTGTTGTACTTGTGAAGCTAGAGTCTGATCTACTTCCTTTCTCTGTGCAATAGACCACCTTTGGCATCTAAAAACACATGAATGAGTCACTGAATTTCACGAAAAAAACCTTCTGCTGCTGCAAATCACCATAGCAATCATCTGGGACCGTGTTAGAGGACCAGATGATAAATCAGAAGAGCATGAATTAATGAACGGGTTAGAAAATAAGAAACTATCTCTGCTGCACAAAATACCATATTTTTCAGACTACTGTCTGTTTCTTTTTCATATAGGATAGAATTCTAAGAAAAGAAAATCACTATTTGGTTCTTCAGCTCACATCTGATGAACAGGCAAAATGTGAGGCTTTCAATGTGGACATTGTTTCTTTTTAAAGGTCTCATTGTACGTGAATTGACAGCAGCTTGAAATAGTCTGCAACAGATACACTTTGTACTCCTGATTGTGGAGCCATTGGAAAGTATTTTTTTATTTTAATAATGAAACTCAATATTCTTGACTCATTTTAATACACATTTTCAGTAGGACAAACAGGCTCAAAGCTGAACGCTACAAACAGGGTAGGAAAGTCAGAAAGTATTAAGAAACATTAACACAATGTTGGTTGTTTCGCAGGATTTGTTGACAATTAGACAAATCTAATGCAACTGTTATTTTTAAACTCACAAAAAAGGTTTAATTCTGACGTGATGAGTTCTGCAGCATTGTTATATAGTAAGGGTTTTAGTCTATGTCATAAAGAATGTGCTCATTAGATGAAGAAGAGACAGATCACGGTCATGAAGAATAAAAAAAGAATATTGACTGTTCCTGATTGCATTCCTCTCAGCACATGTAGCAAGACCTTTCAATACGAATGAAAAACTAGAAACCTACAAAGCTAAAACTTTTGTCACGCCTCTTCTTTCTCTATTTCATTTCCAACCCTCCTTTATATATAAGTACTCCCCCCGAAACCTGTGGAGAACAATGCGACCTGCAGCAGACTAACAAACACCTCAAACAACAGTATTGTTGTGCTCTTTCTCTCTTGTAGAGAAAACCTGCTGGAACAGCGAGTGAGGAGCAGACAACACAGGTACACAATCAGCAGGATATACAGACACTGCATACTCCCACAAATGTTAAAAGACGAGCTCGGCTCAGATGAGCACACACCAAAGCTTATAAGACAAGAGGGCAAACATGCGAACGGGTCGTTCAGACTCACCGTCTTCTCTGCATTCTTCTGGCGGCTTCGCTTTCTTAGCGAGACGAGGATCAAGCCATGATGTTGTTTTGGTGTTGTGACTGAAGGAGGAGAAGAAGAAAGGGACGTGTACATGAAAACAATGATAAGAGGAGAGGGGCAAACAAAGGTCAGACAGAGATTGACGGTGAGGCTAAGAGAAAGAGATGAGTGCAAAGTAACACTAATGACCTGAGCATGTGTGTGTGTGTGTGTGCAGGGGCAAAGAGAAACAAGGGAATCTCCAAGGTAAACTAAATGGTCATTAATCCACTAATTAGCCCTCAGCCACTAATTAGTAAGGGTGAGAGGAGAGGGCAAAAGTTTGCAGGGGTGTGCATGTCTGTGTGTGTGTACTGTGTGTCTGATAAGCAGTATTGAGTTACATCAATTATTCAACAGAAGTTCACACAACCAGCCTTACGTACAGCACACTTTGTGAGGTGCATCACATCGTTCTCTTTTCCTTCTTTTCTTATTTTTAGACATTTTTCGTATCATGTGATAAATAAAGACTTTGCCTCCTGTTACAGATACAGACCTGAAGGAACATTCTGTTTCTACATTGGAATAATATACAATAGATTTATATTACTTTATTTTCTCTTACTCTATGAAGTAGACCTCCCCCTTCTCAGTGTAGGCCATCTCCCAGTTGTCAGGCAGAGGGCCGAGCTCTTCCTCATCTGCATCTGGGACTTTGCTGGGGGATTTGGAAGGAGATTTTGGGGCCTCTTCTTCTTCGGTTGGGGGCTCAGCGGAGGCTGGGGCCTGGCTGGACACCTCAACAGCAACCTCCCCAGAGGCATCTGTGCTCTTGTCCTCATGTTCACTGGACTCTGGATTGCGCACACGCATGGACACGCACACACACGCACACGCACACACACACACACACACACACACACACACACACACACACACAGAGTTATTCTCAAATTCACTCTGTACACACATGCAGACCTGGATACACACGACACACGCCATGCATGATGAGTCAGAGCCGAGCCACTGCAGAGCTATGAACCCCCAGGAGGAAGAGAGCGAGGAGAGGAGAGCGAGAGGGGAGCGATGGGGTCTGAGGACAATGAGCATGAGGAGAAAACAACATGGAGATGTCAGAAATGAAGAAACAGGGAAAGACATTGACTTCAGGGGTCAGAGACTGAGTCAGAAACACAGGGAAAGTTTTTTTTTGAGTGAGCAGAAAAGCTGGTGGCATGTAAGTCAGAGGATGGGGAGCATATGATGAAGGAGAGGGGAGAACATTAAAGGGCAACATTTGCCTATAATATCTAGAGTCTTAAAGGAAAAGTAAGATGGAGGAGAGTCAGTGCTATTTCACAAAACTGATAAGATTTCTGGGTCTATATCTTTATCTAGACTTGTTAAAATGTGTTTGAATCTTACTGGACACTTCAGGTATAGCCAGGAGGTTATTTTTATCCAGACACTGTTTAAAATCAGAGAGGAAGCACTTTTCCAGTGTTTTAACATGAATCTTTTTTTTTCCAGGGACCAGCTAAAATGTCTTAGCCTTGTTGATCTTGTTAAAATTAATATGGGGTTGGGCACAAAACAATATCAATTATAATGGCAATATAATTTTCTGCAATTTGAGCAATATAACAAAAGGCCAATATATGCCGAAATAATTCGTATGCATTGTGCAAACAATTAAAAGGTATAACACATAACTGATCTAACTCAGATTTGTAAAATGTGGAAGAGTTTAAAACCACAACCTTCACACAGGAGCAATAATCTGTGTTTAAGTCTAGAAGAAATAATAATGATGTGACATTTATTGTGATAATTATCAATATAGACAGATTTCTAATCTTTTTTATAAAGGTTGGTGATATCGTCCAGCTCTAAGTGAAAATAGCACACGGCTGTGTGGTGGGGGGAATATGACAAGACTAGAAAGAGAGATAGGGGTAAGGAGATGATAGAGGAGAGGGCAGAAGGGACAGGACCACAGAGGCAGGGGAAGAATCCAGAGAGTTGAGAAGGAAGAGGATGGTAGAGGAGGAGAGTGGAGGAGAGTTTGGGTATAAATAGAAACAAGGACAAAGGCCAGTGGCAGGAGAGCAAAGACAGCAGAAGAGACAGAAATGAGAGGACAGAGAGACGATAGCTGGAGCTAAAATGAGACTATGGACAGCGATCAGGGTGGAGGTGTTAATGTGTCCTTATCAATTCTGTTACGTAAGCTTATTGAGAACCTTTGCACTTCTCACTGATGAGTGTTGATGTCTGTAATGACTAGTCAGGGTTCACTTTGTTGTCAGATCTCCATCGGCTGAATTATACACACTGCAGACATGAAACAGGACTGATGGCTAAAAGAGACTCTTGATTTATCCTGAAGGGACAATAAAAACAAAATGTGAGAGCTGCTATTACAACTGACTTGTTTCTCTGGTTTTACTCAATCATACCAGTGAGACAGTCATAAATAACTCAGGGGACAGTAAAGGCCTTCAAACCAGATTTTCTCCGCACCTAAATATGATATAATAAAATGTCTTCCTGGTCAGGGCACTTGTGAAACAGAGTTTGAATCTAATTTGAGTCAGTGGAAGATGGAAAATTTCCAATAAAAACATCAAAACAGGAAATTGATTGTTTCTTTTTCTGTCTCTCATCCGACAGTACCTGGTGTGATGGCCACCCCATTGCCGTTGACTATCGGGCTCTCCTCTTCCTCCTCCTCGGGCGGCTCCAGGCTGGCGCGTTGCTCCATGTTGCTGACTGACTGGTTCCTCTTCCTCTTGCCCTGGGCGCTGGGCCGGGCTCCGGGCAGCAGGGCCTCACTCACATTCAGAGGAGGGGCTGCAGGGGACGGCTCTGCTGGAGGTTTTGGTGTGCCGTAGAAGTTATCTGAGGGCAGAGAGGCACGGCAGTGTTTGTGTCAGTGGCCATATGTATGACTACCTCAGGTGATATAACGCACCGTCTGTTAAGCAGAGCAGAGGTCCAGGACTCAAGGGGAACTCAGGCCTTGAACAGATGATTTTAAAATGTAAGATAGAATGCAGCAGAAACAGCTTTTGACTAGAAACTTATGATTTCTAATAAATCTGAACAATTTTGGGGGATTTGCATGCTGGCTGATGTCTGAAAAATGAATTAGCATTATCTGTGGCTAACAGTTGAGCTCTTAGGACAGACCTGTGTGCCAGAAAAAAAACCTGAGGACCAGAAATCACATTAGGATCCTGACCTTCATTTTTTCACCATGTGCTCTTTTAATTTTAGATGCCAGCCACTAATGCTGTATCAACAAATGAAAACTTATCTATTTCCATGCTGACATTATTTTCCAGTCCCATCCTACTAAAACAGACATGATATAAGCAGGGTCAACACACACAGTGGAATTTTTATAAAGAAATTGATATATATTATATAATATATAGTACACAGAAGGAGTAAAAAAGTCAAACCGCCTCATGGAAGTCAATGCCATCAATGATTTCCATCATTGCGTATTTTTTTCTGACCTATCATCCGTCCTATGTCCTTCTTTTATAAGCAGCAACCTCTCTGACTCTGTGTTCCAGTCTTGAAAAGGAGACGCTGCAGGTGTCTTCAAGTTCATTTACTGTTCAATCACTGCTGTATGTCCTTCCTGTCTTCACCCTACAACTCACGGTCTTCTAAAATTTAACATTTTAGACAGGATACAAACTGTAAACCTGTGACACCCACAATATAATAGTAATTTATATAGAGCTAGAGAGCTTTTTCTACCACACATCATTCACAAATGATATAAAACCATATACTTATACAAAATATTTACAAAGACACTTCGATGTGACCTGAAACACACACACGGGCACGAGTAGTGACTCTTTGTTGAGAAATGTCTTATTCTGCCGCATATCATCAGCTCCAGATCAACAGAAGCTTTATTCTACAGTACATAACAATGTATGGTTCAGCCTTCTGCTTCAGGATTCAGTTTTTTGTGTTGTGTTTTAGGTCAATGTGAATGTAAAGTGCAATAGTTTGCCATGTTTGATCTGATATGAAATATTTACACTTTCTTCTCATATAGATTGTGTCTTTAAACATTGTTTGTCTGTGCAACCTTCGAACAAGATCTCTGTTTTCCACCAGCTGTTTAAATAAGAAAAACATGCTGCTTAGGCTCTGATAGATTTTGGACATGATATGGTTCTGGTGTTAAATGTGTTATCATAATAGACTCATCCACATTAAGTTACAGTAAAATAGCCTCAATTTCTTTGGTACATTTCAGGTTGAATTCTTTTGCATTGCTGCTCTGTTAAATTAACTGACTTATGAGTTCACTGGCTCTCAAAGCCCAAACCAGCTGTCTGTTTATCTTAATGAAGATGACTCTTCCTAAACTGCATCTGTTGCTTTGGACAGACATGGGACAGCATGCTTAGAGGAAGATTATTATACAGCTAGATGGAGAAATAACATATTAGTGAGAGGTGGAGTTTCAATAATAGCCAATTGCTTCCTCAACAACAGTGTCCTTAATGGAGTATTTTATTTTCTCTCAGGAGAAGGAAAAACTTCTCCTGAGAGAAAATAAAATACTTGCTGCAGAGTCCTAAAATGTAGGAACCCAAAAATAAATACAGAAAAAAATGCCTCCAAGGGCAAACAATGTCCCTGTTTAAGCTAAATTAATGTTTCGGAAGTTGAGAAAACCCTGCAGTGGGGTTTCTCTGCCTAATGATGCACACAAACCTACTTCAACATAATGATAGCTGTTCAGTCAGGCTCCAACTACAGTGTCTTAGAACAATAACTATCCCCATTATTATGTGTTATCTATTATTTTGTTTTAATAAAGTGTTTAAAAAATGTATACTGTTTTTCAATAGTTGTATGTCTGCTGTATTACTGGGCATTATTGGGCATCTGTCAGTCCTCACCCACTGTAATGATGGAATAGAAAATTAAGAAAAGTTAATAACAGCACTGTGAAGAGAAAACAGACAGTACATGAAGGTCCTGCATCTCATTGGAGATGGAGTCATCCTCAACATAAATAATTTAGCACTCTCTTTTTGACACTGACTGACACCGAAGCTTCTGAAATTTCATGGCTTTCTACAAGTTAAGATTTTCTGCTTTGCTAAATATACATTTTTGACTGGGCATATTTGCTCTTAAACCATAATATAGCTCTGCTTTTATTAGAAATTAAAAAAGAGCCTAACTGTCAGGGAAATATTCAGTGATTAAATATTAAGTGTGAGTGAGAGGCAGAGATGTCTTATTTTATAATCCCTCCAAGTGGAGAGGAGTGGGGGTTTCACAAAGAGGAAACAGGGGACAGGGGCGATGGGAGGAGAACAACAGCAAGATGAAGGACAAAAGAGGGATCAGCGGCACAGAGACCACAGACATCAGTTTACTTTCATCGCAGCAGGAGGTGGATAGATTTTAGGGAAGGCTCTACTGCAGCCACCACTTCCTCAAGAAGCGCAGTCACCCGGCTGTCCACCAAACAGAGCTGTCACAGCCTGACAAAAACATAAATGTGCACACAGAGGCACATATGAACAGGGATTAAAGTAACTGCACCCACCTGTAAAAGCATGAGCACAACCTGAAGAGATGCTTTGCAGAACATAAAGCATGCTAAGAAAAGTTTAGGGAACAGGTTCTTCTGTATGAACCACACTGGATTTAAAAACACAATGATCCTCAATATTCCTGGTATTGCCGAAAAGTATTTTGGCTAAATACACAGTTCAATATCCGCCTTCAGTTGTGACTTATGGTTGTGACTCATCACAAAAGTGAGTGTGCAGCCACGCACATACTCTTCCTTTTCCTATCTTTTTACGTTCTTATCTCTCCTCTCTCATTTCTTCTTCTCTACTCTCCTTTTTTTCTAATGTGAATTTCAAAAGGAGTTGCTGCACCTTCAATGCTGCCAGAAAGAGACAGCTTCCCCCAGTGGGAATAAGTAAGCTCTGCAAAACATACACTGTAAACACGCAAGACACACAATTACAAAATGAACGTATAAAAAAGGAACACATATGCGTACATGTGCCTGTACCCCCCTTACACACACACACACACACACACACACA